TCTATCTCATCTTCTTATACTCACTTTTTACTATTATTATTATTACTACTACTATTATAACTACTATTACTATTAGTATTGCTACAATCATTACTATCACAATTTTTTTCTTCCTTTTCTATTTCATAACTATAGAATCTTTATACACACGTAGGTATGTATAATCGATCGAGCTCTCTCTCTCTCTCTCTCTCTCTCTCTCTCTCTCTCTCTCTCTCGATATTTTAATTCCTATCGGTTTTATGTTAGTCCAAGAGAACGTGAAAAATATCATGATAATGCGATTGCTTTCGATTTTGATATCGATATCTAACTAATTATTCACAGGGGAAAAAGCAAAGTTTTCAATTGTGAAACTTTTCAGATATCTATCGATATGTCGATTAATTATAAGAGTGACCTAATTCTAGTTGAAAAATTGAAAAAAATTTAATTCATTCTCATCGGATCTTATTCGTTTCATTTCGTGTATTCCTTTTTATCTCTGTTCTCTGTTTTCTATATACGAATGAGTGTAGCTGGTGTTTTTTACGGATCCGCTAGTATAGCCCATTCTTTCGAAATTCAAAAGAAAATTTGATTTCGTAAATTGTTAAGTTACATTATGATAAATTATTATGAACAATTTGATCAGAAGTAATGCAAATAATTATAGATATTTCATTTCGAAAGAATGAATTACAAAAATGATTTTTTTTTTCTTTTTTTTTTTTTTAATCAACTATTCGTACATAACGGCTCATCGGAATTGTAAATTTTGATATTTTATTTAACTCTAGATCATTTGTCATATTTATTTTATATTAACATATTTACATCCATTTAACGATCGACGAGATAAATTATTTTAGAATTATTTTCGAAATTTAATTCCAAAGAAATTAATTATAATATAAATAAATTTATTTTATGATTAATTGATCGTATGTAATAATTTTTTATAATAGAATTTTATATTCAAATTAAATAACAATTCGTAAAATGTAATTAATGACAAAAACAAATTTTGCAAATTTAATTGGAAATATCGAATGAAAATCTATTTCTTAAAGTAAAATTTTAATTCGAACAATGATATATGTTTCTTGACAGCATGAACTCAAGTAGGTACTCAAGAGAAGTACATTCGCAAAGAGGAATCGCGTGGGAGCGTCGTGGCATCCTGTAGTGTGTAAGTAAAAGTCAAGGATTGCGCCGTTCGAAGGTAACTGCTTCGTGATGATGAGCCTTATGATACAAACGATGTCCTCATGTAAGAGATCCAACCGTATCAAATTCATTATGATGTCTATCCAACTCCATATATTTTCAAAAAATACCTCTTCGAATATCTCTTTGTAAAAAAAGAAAAAAAAAAAAAAAAAATAAAAAAATAAAAAAAAAAAAAAAAATAAAAAAAACAAAGAAAGAAAAATATTTTTATAATTATTAAATATCGTTCAAAATAAATTAATGAGAAAATTTCTTTGGACATTCTTTTCAAACGTTACATTAAATCATTTCGATTCTAATTTAAATGTCAATTTAAATCTTTTATTTATCCATTGCATTACATCCAGTTATTATAAATATTAATATAAAATTAATATACTAACATTAATTTTTATAATTGGATATGTATATATATATATAAAGTATTTACATTGCAAAAAAAAAAAAAAGAAATATAGTTTCTCGTAATAATATCTTAGAGAAAAAGAAAATTAATATTTGAAATGTTTTTTATCGTCAACAAAATAAATAATCTAAGATAATATAAAGATCTGTATAGAGATGTCTACATTAAATTTGTTTTATCGATCGATTTATAGATCGTAAAGAAATAATCCTTAGTTGCAACTTCGATCTAGTTGACTCTATAAAACATTGACGATATGATCCATTGGCATTGGTAAAAAGTTAAAAAGGGATGAAATAAAGTTGTGAAGTTTCACTCAATATATCGAACTAATATTTTGCGTTGCCAGGGCCATTTTCCGTTTTATCGATCGAAAAGGTGGGAGGGAGGGTTGGAGGGAGGGAGAGTGCGAGCATGGAATAAATTGTCTCAAGGCTTACCTACCATCCGTTCTACCTTTCCTTTCTTCCTGAAGGAGAATGGAAAACTTCATCCCATTTCCCCACTCCCACTTTCACCGCCTTCTCTCTAACCATCCTGATCCTCCCCCCAAAGGTGCTATGGAATTTGATGAGTTCGAAGCGCGAAAGTTCTCCTGAGAAAATTTTTCACCGTCCACGGAAACTTATCTTTGGAAAGGGAAGGACCCATCGACTCTCTATATTCTTTCCTTTCTTCCACCCCCCCACCCCTCCCCGCCCCTCCTTTCTTTTTTCTTTTCCTTTTTCATTTCACTTCACAGACAGCTCTATAATACATATTTTTTAAAATAGAAAAGAAATTTGATGTAAAGAGAATTTGCCAAAAAAAGAAATCATTTTAAACAAAAGAAAAGACGAAAATAAAAAGCAAAAAAAAAAAATCGGTTTTCTTTCTTTCTTCTTTTTTTTTTTTTTTCCCTTTTTATTCTCGTCTTTTCTTTTTTGTTACATTTATCATAAGATCTTTATCGTGAAAT